TTGTTGACATGGGGTCCCTATTCATAATTTTCGAATTGTTCATTTGATATTTTTTATTGTCACGGGTATTTCACCTGAAAGAAAAGATATGGTTTTAATAAAAACGACTGTATTTATCCCAGAAAGTACTTTTGGTAAAAGATATGACTGTCTAAAATCACTTGCCATACTGCACATGGACATTTTCAGTGAATTTGGTTCAACAGTTGCAAAAAGTGTCTCATTTTTGGGACACCCGATATAATCCAACGCATGCCAAAAACCCTTTTGTCATCGTATATATCTTCCTCCAACAGTGGACTCGGATATTAGAGAATGTAAATATATAACAATGGAATCAACTAACGATAGACCGGTGGATCGAATGCACTTGGATCATCATAGCCCCACCAATCCCAGCATCCGTTAGGATTCCCTACCAGCATATTTGGCTGAGCCTGGGGGTAAACAACTATTATGTTGTTGGTCTCCGCCCATTCATTGTAGCCAGCATTACGGGCGTATCTATCCTGCACGTCCGATCTGAACAAGAGACCATTATATTTATACATTTCAGATTGAAACAAAAAATGAATACATAAAAATAAAATGTCTTTAAATCTTCCATTTGATTCTTTTGGAAAAAACAATGTGGACTTGAAACTAGTCTTGCTTAAAAGACCCTGTACCCCCCCCCCTTTATCCTTCTCTCTAGGTGTATATTGCCAGGTAAAGAGAGTGAAGGTGGCGGGGGGGGGGTGAATACAGTCTTTGAGCAAGACTAACTTGAAACATTTTATTATTGTGCAGCCGTTGCTTTTTCTGTCCATTCCAACTCAACATTTCCATTTTTAAAATTGATGTTTGAATCCCATTGTCATCATAGCTGTTACTAGCTTGGTACAACAATTCAGATCATACTACCTAACTCACCTACTTTGGAGACACCCGTGGAATGCAAAATGTAGTCTACATGCTGAAAATGCAAAGGTGTAGTAAGAGTCATTCCTCTAATCGGAGATATTCATAAATGCATGTTAGCGTGATGACTTGAACACTATTCAGAAATTAGTCGGAGAATATCTATCCCGATGAATTTTTACTTGGGGTTGTGTTATTAAAGGTAAATTACCCTACTCACATTCAGTAAAAATGAGACACGTTATAACGTAAACGTTGGCATGAATTTTTCATATTGCATATGTTATGTGTAATGTCATGTCATTCTGCTCTCTGATTTTTACAATTGAATGTCATGGACATAGTATATCGCCTTTTTGTCACGCCCATTTGCTTTAGTAATCACTCGACTGTATGTCATTTCTCATTAACATGGTAGTCGTAAAAAACTACTTTGATAAAAGGCGTCTTAACAAGAGTTTAATGAGAGCTGTCTGTCATATATTACTGTATAAGTGGTATTTAATCCGAGTGGTTAATTTTCCGAATGGTCAAATTTCATCATTTTCCTAATTTTAATTTTCCTAATGACAAGAAACCTCCCATTGGATAACATTATCAAGACAATATTTCCGACATTTAATTTTCCGAACCTGGCAAAAATGAGGAAATAGGCAAATTAAATGATTAGGCAAAATTACCACTTATACAGTATTTATCGCTTAAATATTGTAATTATTGTGATATCGATGTAATATATAAGTTCAATCGATTAAAAAAAAATTTTGTAATTGAAATGCGTGACAAAACGGTCATGGTCACAAAAATACCTCAAAAAGTCTGTGTAAATAACAGACGTTGGTAGTTTCATCTGAATAAATCGTGGTGTTGTGGAATATCACTAGCTTTGTAGTTGAAATAACAATAAAAATAGTGCAAAGTACACAAGCTGCATGAGAGATTACGACTGCCGGTTCATTACAATTTTAACATCATAATTTCATAATGTTTACATGCATAATGACAAATAAAAGCAAATGGGATATACGAAAGCAGAAATTTATAGCTTGTGATCAATTATTGTCCCGTTGATCCTGTCCCTAGCCTCTCTGAGCTTACTCGGATTTAGAATGAAATAACTTTTGATTTTCTTTTAGAAGATACCCTGTAGTGTAGGAATCCATAAGTTATTTTTTCAGGTTTGGGTAAAATCAATTTTTATGGCAGGTTATAGTGGCGCCATCTAGTGATTTTAAAGTTGCAGGGTGATAATCTTAATTAATTTTTTTTCAGCCAAACCTAATTTCATATTTATTTTTTTGCTGTTTCCTTAGAGACAACTTCCTAAACTATGCATTTGAATTTTTAGGTGATCCTGGAAGGTCATTTGATGGGTCATTTTGCCTCAAATATACAGAAGCGCCACCTATAATCAAGGGTCTACCTTATAAAGTTTATTATTCTGAGGCTGTTATGGTAGATAAAATTGTTATTATTGGTGTAATAATTAGTCCAATAAAGGGGACATATGATGCAGTATCAAATTAATATATGTGGGACATGGGAACTTTAGAAAAAATTTTTTTTGTAAAAGTGGAAGAAATTTGACAAAATATCAGTTTTTACATATTACCAAATACATATGCTTTTTTATTTCTAAGGTAAACCTAACATGATGTAACATGTAGAAAAATATATATTTAGACAAGTTAAGCTTATGGTTGACAATTACGGTTATTAATGAATACATTATAGACAGAATGAAACCATGCATAAAAGGCGCCATCTATAGAAAATATATTTTTCTATAAGTTTCATTTGTTTGTAAATCATTTATGATTTTTGAAGGCAAAGTAAGAAACATAGAGAACAATGACAAAATTGAAAGCAAAATGCGCTTTTATCCTCCCCAAGTCTTCCTGACCATTTCAAATATTGTACCTCCTAATAGATACATGCTATTTTATGAAATAATATAACCATATTTCAGATTCAAAGTATATATATCCACAGCAAAACACTTGAACGTATTAACAGAAATACCTCTATTTTTTAATAAAGAATGCACTGCTTTGAATTTCTAGAAAATAGATGTGATTACGAATATGACATAAATATTTTTGAAAACTGCTCCCTGATCTGATTCTACCTAAATTCCAATTCATTGTAAAATAAGAGACTAGAAAACAACTGTTACATTCAATTTGTTTTGTGATATTTGATTAAAACAGTTCATTTTATCAGCATAAAACATTAATTAAGCATTGCCTCCAAAAGTTCACTCTCTTTTAAAAAGGGATTTTTACATTTATTTGTTTGTAAACTTGTGCATTTGCAGAATGATATGCAGTGTTGCCCACTCTGTTTGCATCCACATGATGCCTGGCTGCAAGTTTTGCATGTACATTGCTTTATCAAATCTTCAGGCCAAATCCTTATGTCCTGCTTTGGGATAAGAGAATCATTTGTGGGGTCCTTCATGTAGCCATATTGTAGGGGATCAAGTGTTACAGCTTCTTCATCTAGAACATGCTGGACTTGATATGCGGCTAAGTGAGCTCGTTTTATGTGGTCTGTTAGTAGGTGTGATGTGGGTGGCAATGAGCTTATTTGAGCTGATTTTGAGTGATGGTACATCCAGTTCCTAAAGGACGATTCTCGGTTTGGAGAACGAAGTTCATCAATCTTAATGAGCATTATCCCTGCTCCGGACAAATTTGATTTTTTTACATAACATAGGTTTGAATGTCTTCTTTTGAATAGTCATGATTTAATTTGGGTAATATTTCTAGATTTTTCGCAACAAAAATATTAGCGCAGTACACTGATGAACTTCTTTCCCCAAATCGAGACTTATATTTTATTAAATCGGTCTAATTGAGCGTTATCCCTGCTTCAGACCAATTTGTTATTTTTACATCTTGTAGATTTAAATGTCCTCTTTTGAATATTCATAGTTTAATTTGGGTAATATTTCTATATTTTTCATGAAAAGAATTATTAGCCCAGGAGACTGTTCTCCAAACCGAGAATCGTCCTTTATTCATGGTCATACATTTTGACCCAGATTTCAAAACTTGTACAAGAAACACTTCAGCTTTACTGCAATTTTCATCACTTAGGTTCTCCCCAAAGGTTGCTAAACCTTGAATGTATTCTGGTTTTACTTTCAATGCTGCAGGCTTTGTACCAACTTTACTTGTAACAATTACCCAAATGCGAGTAGGTAGTTACCAGTTTCACCACCAGGTGGCTGATTCGGGTCAATTAACATGGTAGGTATATAATAAAGTTCCCTTAAACTTGAATATTATCAATTTAAGTGGCTCAATTTTCATATTACCCTTATGTGTCTGATACTTATACTAATGAAAATATGTCCAATGAAGCAAAATATTATCTGTCCACTAAAAGAAAAGATATTTCATTTTTTTGTGATTTTATAGCATGGGGTCTATGGGGAATCTCCCCGAGCTAGAAGTCACATTTTCAAAGAAAATTATTTTTTCAAAGTTGATAAACACTTTTTAAAACCACATTTCTAGATGTAATTTTACATGTAGATTTCAAATATGATATTACTTTGACTGAATTTGGAATTGTTAATGACGTAAATCAAGATTATTTCTACTCGCATCTGGGTAATTGAGGTGACCATAGACCTAAAAACATGGCAATTTTACATATATATATAAAAATATAGATAAATTTCATCCAAAATACTTGAGAGTTGGTGAGTTAACGTAACTTTGGATGATCTTTCCAATGGTATATCACACTAGGTACCATCTATTAAGGTCTTGGCTGTAGAGGGGGGGGGGACGGGACTTATTTGACACACTGAATAAGTACTTTTAAATTATAAATGATTAATTACCAATTTTACAGCATCTATCTTGCTTGCCAGAAGAAAATCCTGAGACTGCCTCTTGCTGTGCTTTATAAATGTGACATCTTCACCAAATCGCTTACGCAAATATTTGGTGACAAGTTGCCCTTGAACAGGGCTACGTCAAAGGCGGTCACCGATCTCTTTGCAAATCTCTGATACAGAGAAGGCTTTTCCTGTATTCAAGTCTTGATGAATTTCATTGATGACATCATTAAATACATCATACATTTTTGATTTATCATGAAGAGAATTTGAATCAGTACTTTTCTGGTATTTATGGCTGTATTGTTTGTAACAATAGTTATGGTATAAGAGATCAGCTTCAATCACTCCTTTCACATCAGTGAGGTGACAGGTGCTGGTATACACTTCATCCTGTAAGTGTTGGGTTTGTACAAGAAACTCGGTAGCTTTCTTCTCTTCAGAAATTCGGGATTTTTCATGTTTTGTTTTTTGTGACCTGATTACAATATATACAAACATTCTGGTATTTAGGTACATCAACAGCTTCAACAGAGGGCCTTTGTGTTAGGGAACATTTCATTTGTTTGGGTTGTGCTGTTGACGAATGAGGTGTATTTCCAACCATTCCTTCAATGGTTTCTTCAGTATCAGTTTCAGTTTCTTCAGTTTCTTCATTCCTTTGTGGAAGGGAACATTTCATTTGTTTGGGTTGTTCTGTTGAGGAATGAGGTGTGTTTCCAACCATTCCTTCAATGGTTTTTTCAGTATCAGTTTCAGTTTCTTCATTCCTTTGTGGAAGGGAACATTTCATTTGTTTGGGTTGTGCTGTTGAGGAATGAGGTGTGTTTCCAACCATTCCTTCAATGGTTTCTTCAGTATGCCGTTTTTGGGTGTATACTCTGTAGCAAGCATTGTTCATGTGATATAGAATAGGTGCGTTTTCAAGTTTGGCTACTTTCATATGTTGATAAACTTCATCATCTTTCATTTTGCTTATTCTAAGCAAGGTTGCAACACCTCTTGCTTGTCCCACAGTTGGCTTGACAACATTGCTGTTACTGTCTTTAAAATCATCTTGGCAGATAATACATTTTCCTCTTTCAAAGTTTATAGAAGCCATTTAGGAAGTTAACTGGAGAAGAAATAGATTGTTAGTGACTTTAAAATATTCAATCTCTGGGTCTCAAAAATGCAGTCACAATTCAGGATCATGCATAGTTTATCATGTAACTGGGTTCATTTTAGTTATTAACGTTAATTCGTTAATCCATATGCAAGGAAATTTGACTTTCAAAGAAAAGCTGGATGTGATCATATGTTTTATTTTCCTAGACACCAACTTACATTCTATATTAGAAATAATTTGAATCATTCTAAGTGATCATAATTTTAATTCTTCTATTTTGTCGAAGATGAGCAATCTTTATATCTTAAATAAACCTTAAGCTTACTTACTTTAATCACATTTTAATAATTTTGTTTCCACCAATTCAATACATGTTCATCTGTAGTCTCAAATATATACTAAATACAAAAACAGAGGTTAGTCAATAAGTCAATTATAGAGGATTACTGTTTTAAACAACCTTCATGCTAATAAGATGTAAATTACCCCAAAATTAGCTGCCATGGCTTTTAACAGGAGTTTCAGTTTTGAGTTTGATATTAACTTATGATGGTATAAATATAATATAAAATTAGATCTAACTCCATTTGGGTGGGATAGATTGAAGGATCATTTTTTATTTGAAAAGTGTAGATACATCTTTTGAGAAGCTCTAATTTTATACAAAATGTTTCTGGCAAAAATTACCTGTAAAATAAAATTTAATTTATTCTAAAAGTGCACACTTATGGAAATGATATGATTAATAGATGTTATAACTCTATTAATACAAAGAAACTCTGGAAAAGCTTTTCATACATTCATTAAGTACCGTGTTGTATTTCCAGAAGTTGAGTCTTTGATATAATAAGGGGTGTATATCAAACACAGAATAATTAAATAATAATAATGGGCAAAAACCAAAATTCAGCCCTACAATTACTTCATTCATATTCTCAAAAATCAAAATGTATTTGTTTGTACTTGTTACATCATATAAGGATTACCTTAGAAATAAAAAAAGCATATGTATTTGGTAATATGTAAAAACTGATATTTTGTCAAATTTCTTCCACTTTTACAAAAAATTTTTTTTCTAAAGTTCCCATGTCCCACATATATTAATTTGATACTGCATCATATGTCCCCTTTATGGTTCTAATTATTACACCAATAATAACAATTTTATCTACCATAACAGCCTCAGAATAATAAACTTTATAAGGTAGACCCTTGATTATAGGTGGCGCTTCTGTATATTTGAGGCAAAATGACCCATCAAATGACCTTCCAGGATCACCTAAAAATTCAAATGCATAGTTTAGGAAGTAGTCTCTAAGGAAAAAGCAAAAAAATAAATATGAAATTAGGTTTGGCTGAAAAAAAATTAATTAAGATTATCACCCTGCAACTTTAAAATCACTAGATGGCGCCACTATAACCTGCCATAAAAATTGATTTTACCCAAACCTGGAAAAATAACTTATGGATTCCTACACTTCAGGGTATCTACTAAAAGAAAATCAAAAGTTATTTCATTCTAAATCCGAGTAAGCTCAGAGAGGCTAGGGACAGGACTACGTCTCTGATTGTATCAAGGGCGAACGTAATACCCGGATCGTTCGCAAATTGGCGTTCAGTTTTTTACCGCATCCGATTTGAATTAGCCAATCAACAATAAACATTATTCACTATTGTCTAATGAAGACCAAACAAAGCCCCGGATGTCGTGTCGTTTCTCGTTTCGTTTGGTACACAACTAAGCCCCGGGTATTATTATTCGCTGATAGAGCCATGTAAATATCTCATGGGGTTGCATCAACACACAGTCGCAGAATCATAGGATAGAACATATTTTGTCATACATAAATTGAGGGTTTAGATTTGAGTCATAACATTTCAAAATACTTTTACTTACGAGTCAATTTTGAGGCACATGAAGAAGGTACATACATAAATCCCCGCTCTGCAAAACTTTCGCCAACACTATTAACAAATTCTCCCTGGTCAAACTCTTGAAACTAAAAACAAGGACAGACACATTACTTCAATAATAGTTGATGACAATACTTTAATAATATTTGATGATATATTAGCATACTTATTGCAACAATATAAATGTTTTGGATATTCAACTCAAAGCATGCTTTTGTCATTTAGGGCACTCCTTTCGCTTATGCAACTGTTATATAATCTCATTTGAGTTTTTCTTCATGATTATGAAAATGTTTGAATTGTGGGGCAAAAGGCAAATATCTAGTTCTCGGAGCTTCCCTACCCTCACTTTTAAAAGATCATAAATCATTAATTCCTTAAAGCTTTATTATTGTATGACAGTTCTTGGCTGATGTGGCAATCGGTCCAATTTTAACATGGTAGCAATGGCCAAAATTACTAAAAAATTCTCAGAATGGTGAAAAACTGCATGATTTTGAAAGAGTGGGGGGGGCTACGACTACGGGCCTGTAGCTGTATAGTGTAGAACCCGCCTGCTAATGACGTAACATTATCCTAGATTCGCTTTGAATAAAGTAGGCTATTCTACATCGAGATAAAATAGCATGATAGAGGCATACCGTCCCCGATGCGCCACTTCCCTTTGGATTCAAGTTGCCATAGATGTGTTGGAATGCTACACCGGCCCCTTCATAGTCACAATTGTTGATATAGGGGTCACCAGAATCTCCACATGGGACTCCATAGTCTGCTGTGGGCTGAAATGTTGAGCTATTTTTCATTTTATGCCTTTCATGGCATGATACTTGATCAAATGAACGCAAGTTGCGTACCAACAACCAATGTACAAAATATTAGTGCATTGCTATACTGTGTATATCAATCTGTCATATTAACTAGGACACAATATTGTGGCGCAAGTTCCATTTGGCACCAAAAATATTTATCATGATCCTACCTTGTATTTATTGATTATGAATATGGCCATGAATTTCGTCAAATATAATTATGCAATAGTCGAAAAGCAAGACTCAATTGGCAATAGCTGTATAAGTATCAGACTCAGTGCATCGTTTGCTGAATCATGCCATGAAGGTGTTGTTTCCGAACCTTTACATGACCGCGCAGCGGGAATGCAAAGTGTAGGAAACAACGCCTGAGTGGGATGAAACATTTACAATGCATTGAGTCTCGGGCTTAAATTCTTTTCACGCATTGCAATTTTCTACAAAATCGTCCAAAAGGAGCGAAATCACTAAAAGTATAAATTCTCAATGTATTGCATTGTATTGTATTTTTTGCAACGGTCAATTTGGCAAGTCATCAAATCAAATGTGAAAAATCCATTCATCACCATTACAACTGTGACCTTGGATGTGTTATCGATATTTCACACACTGTTCGATATGTGAAATATTGTGATTGAAATGGCTGGAATCGGACACACCTTGCCTAGCTACATGAATGTGTGAATGCATTATATTACCATGCCATGACCCGCTGACAGTGTGAATTCTGTTAGGATGGTAGCGCCATAGTTAGTGTAGTATTCCTGGGACTTTGTAGATGCGGCTAAAAATAATTGATTCATGTTGTTCCTGGTTTGAAATATTAAAAACAAGCAACATATTTTAGTTTGGAATATTCCCTAGGATTATCTGGCACTGGTCTCTTTGTACTTTAAATTCAAAATTATTAGAGAACGTCATCGTCATCTCCTTCAATAGCAACCATGTTCGGACTTGCGTTGGACTTGTCCTCAGTTATTACCCAAGACTATGAACAAATAACTGTTTGCGTGTCAATATTGCAGGCTCTACTTAACAATGTACATACATGTACTATATAATGTTAGCCTCACCAGGGTCGACGGTTCCATCTTGGGATCCATGAAACAGGAAAACCCGGTCATTCCTCATGTTTGAAACCGGGTTTATCTGCCCTGCACCCTCAGCTCTATTGGTCTCTGACACAAGGTCGGCTACTACGATGTCTTCTGGTGTACTCATACACAAAGTTAAAGCATTTGTAATTTGCCCTTCCGCACAAAAATATGGTACTTGAAAATACACAAGTTGATATAGTCAGTTATCAGTTTTCAAATGACCCAATCTGGTCAATCGATGGAGACCAATTATAGTAATAAAACTGACGCTAGTGCAGGTAAATCCATGGCGGATATTAATCCTCATGACTTGATATACTAGACTCGAAATTATTTGAGAAAAGACCCATGTCATCTCGCGTGTGAGATTTCGATAGTTTGCGCATGAGCAGAGCACGTTCGGTAAGCACTTACTTCCAGCGAAGGAGGCCATTCCCATGATACTCGAGGAGAATGCCACGTGCATCTGTTGAGCCATAGCACCTCCCGCAGAAAGTCCAGACACGGAAATGGCATTTGAATCAACATTATATTCATCTGATACAAAAATTATAAATCAAGATGTGTGTCATAAAAAGCAAACAAGGCATTAACATGAGAAAATGTCACCACCTAGTTGCTAACAACATTATTAGTTCAAACTAAAGTCATGTTTGAATTTATAATTCTGTAGATGATTTTGAAAAAATGGTCAATTTGAAACAAGTTTTTTGACCCTGAGGTCATTGAGGGTGAAATCTCAAATCTAAAGTCAGATTTGAACTTCTAAGAACTTGAAGATGATTTTGAAAAAAATATTGGTCAATTTGAAGCAAGTTGAAAAAATACCTTTTCATCTTTTTATTATCATTGGAGGTCAAATCTTTTTGGACCTTGAAAATGTCATTGAAGGTGAAATCTTTATTCAGATTTGAACTTTTGAGAACTTGAAGATGATTTTGAAAAAAGAATTGGTCAATTTGAAGCAAGTTGAAAAAATACCGTTTTAACCCTTTTGGACCTTGAAAAGGTCATCGAAGGTCAATTCTTATTTCTAAAGTCAGATTTGAACTTCTGAAAATTTGTAGATGATTTTGAAAAAAATGAAGTCAGTCTGAACATTTGTAAAGTTATTGGAAGTTGTAAGAAATTGTTACAGACGACCATCGCCAACCGCCAATGCCAACCGCCGACCGCAATCTTCCGATCGCCGTCACAAAAATGGAGACCATGACAATATGTCACCACTTTTTGGTAGTGACATAGATACTACAAACATCTTAGTTTCAGAGTGTGGGCATAACTCATGTCATTGCTTTAGTAAAGCATTAATATATACGTTTTAATTTTCGTAATTCTGGGGATTTATTATTTACAATAAAGACAATGTTGCGACAGCAATGATTCATTCTGTAAAGCAATATAGTATTATTTAAGTCAACAAATAACCACTTGGTATCTTCACTTACCAAGCCTCTGGCCAAACAAACATTGAACCAGACACACAAAAATAGCAACGACCTCCATGCCCATCTTACTCAGTCCTATCCTGGCTTGTATTTGAATAGGCACTTTGTTGTGAGAAACATTGCGTCCCGGGCATTGCGTCTGATTACAAACACTTACATACAATCGCTATCACTTTACATTTTCTCACCACCTACTTAAAATTCTATTTAGATATATTTTTTGTATGAATATTTATTAACTTGGTTGTTTTGCTAATGTATATTTTAATTACATGTGACGTTTATTGGTTGACATCTCACGGTTGCAACGCCACACTTTCGTTTCTTATTTTCACTTGTACGTATCATCATTAAATTGAATTTTGCTTCAAATTTCAAAATCGAACGAAATTTTATGACGTTCTCAAACAGACTGTCGCTTGGAAAAGCGGCTGGAATGATTTTTCCTTGTTGTTACTCTCATAGCTGCATCGCGATAGTCACACCTTCGACTCTTATTTTAACTTGCACGTCTCTTCATTAAATTGGATTTTGCTAAAAATCGAACGAAATGATATGACGTTCTCAAATAGACTGTCGCTTGGAAAAGCGACGGAAATGATTTGTTCCACAGGCATTTGTATGATAGTTATTTTCCATGACCAATGTTAGTTGTTCATCTTCACACTTTATAACTGGAGAAGAACCATGTTGTGGTTCGCCTCTTTTAAGAGAAGAGAAGTCCGCAGAATATTGTTTGCGTTCGGCCTCAGCACTGTTAACATTGTGAAGATTTGGTAAGGAAGCGTTTACTTTGCGTTCCACTCCAGCAAGGTTCGCCTCTGTGAAGCCTGATATATAACGATGGTGTTGGTTGAGCATCCTTGTTGACGGATCTTTCTGTTCTATTACATTATTGCGAACTGACATAGTTTGGTCTTGTGTTCTAGTACGTGCTTTCTGTTTTTCGATGTAATCATTTAACGAATCGTCGTCGAATGTGTAGGGTTTTACCATAGCAAATAAATAGTCAGGTCGCTGCCTTAATCCAAGACCTAATTCCATGGTTGATAGGTTCATTTTGTCTGATGGATCACGTAAACTTTTTGAACGATTTATTTCAGACCCTGAGAAGGTCCTGTCAAATGTTGACAATTCGCCAGAGCCACACGACGCCACCGAGTAACGTTGTTCGGCAGTGACGTTTAGGTCAAGTGCACTGATGACGTAAGCTGCGTTGGTTATTCCCATCTTACGCCTTCTTGGTCTATCCAGAGAGTATGAGTCATAAGCCCGCTCTACCTTGTATGCCGGATTTGTGTATGTCTGAAAAAAAGATTTAAATCATTCATTTGGAATTGGTTTCTATGAATACTGCTGACGACATCACGCTAGACCATCCCTTCTTTAACAATAAGGACAGTAAGATTAGAGAAAGATAAAAATGAATTATCGATTGGCCATAAAAAGACATTATGAGTCTACAGTGTATGTCTGTATTACATTATCCGATCTACTTGTACTAAGGTGGTCCAAAATTGCAGTAGGCCAGAATTAATAAGTTTAAAAGTGGTCGATTTTCATGAAAAATAAGTAAGATGGGTAAATCTCGGGGAGAGCGTGGGTACATTCCCCAGGGGGGCTAGGGCAAAAATGTTTGGTATATTAACTCTTTAGGTCATAAATTCATAGACTGTCGCTATGAACTTTTATGAACTCAACACTCGGTCAAGACAAGTAACTTAGTCAACATTCGATATTCGTATGTCCATCAATATTTACTAAGAATGGTGCCACAATTGAAGTAAACCTCTGGTTAATTATTTTCAATAAACCTATCAGCAAACGTGTAAATGATAATTTTGATGTTCTGTTACATATTGGTAAAGCAATCTTTGGGATATGACCTAAATTTCTGATTTTCCACTGTGTCCCAGTATACCCCTACTTCAAAAGATATATGTTATTCGTCATTTTTCATTATGAACCAACCATAAATGCATTTTTTCTTGTTTACATACAGAATGAACTTTCGGTTTTAAAATATTGCAAGACGGTACTGCATTTATTTGTTCAGGATATCGAGCAAACAAATGCGTGTCAATTTACACTGTAATATCCTACATACTTATATTTCAAGGGTAGTTTTGAAGAATAATCAAGAAAATCCATGTTTTCAAATGGATTCATCCTTGTCAAAGAATGTGAATGAGGATATGCCGTTTGAAAAACTCACAACATGTTTCAAGTTCTTACAATTCTTGATTAAAAAAATACTTTGAAAGTTGTGATTTCGAATGTAATATCCTACTCAATAAAATTTGTTGATATTTGTGAATTTTTTCTTTCGAAATGCACATTGCTGGATAACAGAACCTTGCCATGTTCGAGATGCACGAAAAGTGTTTTGTTAATACTTGACGTCGTACGGATATTTGGATGTGATTGACGTTTTCGTTAATCTCCTACCACTGTAATTTCCAACTTAATTTTTGGAAGCCAAATGTGATAGTCACGAATTGATATATAAGTCACACGTTGATGCATACATCATGTGTGTACATTAACTGTCGAATACATGCCAACTTACATTTATATAAATATCCACAATTAACTCAAATCATCAATTCTCGAAACGGTTTATTATTTAACCTGGTGAATTGAATTTTTCATTTTGATTCATAATTATGGTATCGGATTTGAGTATAGTATAAGTCGAGGCTTAAACAAAGCAATAAAATTACGTGAAACCTTTTGTGAAAATTCGAACGATTTTCAAGAATCCTCCTTCAAAGTGATACCAAAGTGCTCCCCGGGAGTGGAAATTTCGTCTTGTGTAATAAAAATAATAGAGCGGGTGGTTTGAATTTTTGTTTGAGTTTATAGTTAACATCTATAAATTGAAAAACATATCGCCTAATTAAGAGGTACATGCATATTTTGGCGATCTATCATTATAAAGGGCTAAATATTGTGCAAAACAGGAGTTGACACGCTTACATTTGAAAATGAAATTTCCTACATAATCGTCAACTCATGTTTAAAAGTCATGAAAACATGACCCAGTTACTGTCTATTCAGCATGGGTCACTAAGGGAAATATTATTAATGACTTAAATCGTTTACAGTTAAGTTGTATTCCAAGAAACTTATCAATTTAGAAATGCAAATTGTTCAATTTTGTTTTTCAATTATAAAAAATGGCACCTGTTGAGAACAACGTTTTCAAATTTTTTTAAAACGGAGATATTTACTTATGCAACATTCATTGGCATGTGTCAGGGAATAAATAGGAAGAATATGCATTCGATTCTATATCTTGTTCCTGAAGGAGTTTGTTAAGGAGCGGTATATCTTAACGTACTTTTATCATCCCGAACTCAAACATTTCGAATACTTATTTCGAGAACGCTTTGTTGAGAATGGATTCGAGATGTACTCAAAAATAGTGCGTTAAAATGTGTATTAATTATCTAAATAACCACCTCACAAATTATTTTGGAAATCAAAGATGTACGATTTTTGAGTTTTTTATTTTCGAATGTTGACTTACTTACTTGGCTTGACTGCACTGAACTCAAAACTTTGCGTCTCGTAATTTTGGACCACCCTATGCACGCCCTTATACGAATTCCAAATGGGGATAACATTACTGTGCTAAAACAAGGTTGTTCATTTTTGCATATCATTTTCCAAATCAAAAATTAATCAAATATGCTGTACTGTAAATATATAGTATAGTTTCATTGAAGTGTGTCAGTTTTTAATCTGTTTCCTTAATTGAAGTTTCAAAAAATGGAGAAAAAGAAATGATTCCATAATTGTTTCAGAGCATGAATAGGTAAGCCTTATTCAAGTAAATCACCTGTATGGTTTCGTCCGTTACTTTTCTCTCCCAGCACACACCGAGTAAAAACAAAACCAGAATTATCGGCAGTAAAACTGCGAACACAATCCCAACTATGGCGACCGCACTCAATCCACCACCTAAAATGTATGTTCGCGGGAAGAATGATAACACTGAACAGGAAGTCAAAAATATGTTGGAATTTGGAATTTCTTTAACTAAGATAACAGAGGTCTGCTTGACCTTCAGTCTTAACTATTCTAGGTCCATTTATAATTGACATGACCCGAATCACAATAGGCATGGTCAGTATGACGCTAAACTTGATGAAAACATTTGAAAAGCGATCTGTTTTCCTTTTCATGACCATCCTTACCCCGACATTGGGCGAACGACGTTTCATCACTTAGGTCCCTACAGTTGAATAGTGCGTCACATTTTAACTTCGAACTGATGCAATCCCCATTTATACATTTGAATTCTCCTTGACCACAAGGTTGTCTGTGGAAGGTTGTGTAGGTCAGCTCAAAACCCGAGTGTATGTGGTCTACGATGTCACGCATCACCTCACTCACGAAAATAAGAGTCAAAGCGGGACCAGTTGATGAGTAGGTAGCGCCATCTTTTGCTGCTGTCCCACACAATCCAGTTTCTCCTGTAATAAGTTTGTAGAGTATTGTAGATATTTGTTGTTCATATATACGTTTATTTGATGGCATAATTCGATATATTATGTCCCAGATACACCCATTGCACATGGTGGGATCGCAGACTTTACATTGCGTGGGTCATCGTGGGACTCCATGGGACAAGTGGGATCATTTTACCACATTTGAGTATGTTACCCATGCAAAGTTAGGCCAGGTATGTGTCGATAAAGGCGGGGACAATGAAGACAGCATTCTCTTCTACTATTGTATATTTAATTTGCACTTACCCGAAAGGACTGGCGCCTTTTCGTCTTTGCCATCATATATTTCAAGTCTGTCTGAACAGAATAAGCCATGCGTCCCAACGATGATTTTATCCCCTACATCAAATTTATTCATACTTATTGACACATGGCTCCCATTGTCTGCTTGGAGTGTGAGTTGACACCTGACATCGGGTGGGTATGCGTCATTTGCAGTTAGTCGCAAAATGCCCCCTCCGGCCTCGTGGACTATGTACAGAACTGGCTCGTTTGTTGAGCAAAACACATCCATGTAACCTTAATCAATAATAAACATGATGGTTGGATATCTCGTTGCTTCAATACTGGATAGATCGAGATCTTGCTGCCACGTATGGCAATAGACCCTGCAGCTCTTAACCAATTAGATTTGAGTATTTTAATGAGGTACATAATAATATAAAATACACCAATACTGCTCTAACTGCCGCGTCCAACAGAATGTCACAACATGTCAGTCAACCGACTAATTCAACAGATCGTGATGAAATAAATGTTTTAAATGAATTTGAAGGGATACTTGAAAATGGCATCAATACTAGTCTTTCAGGGTATGATCCCATGGCAGCTTATCTTCTGAAAATTATTTTGTAAAGTGATGGGTTGACTTTTTCTAATTTTATCAAATTATGCTTACGTATTGGATAAGTGAAAGTTGCTGATCCTAGTCTTAACTGTACAGACATCACTAAAAGTAAACGAAGCAGTTGCTTTGAAATATCCATTATGAATTACGGTTCGCTAAAGTGAATCAAAACTGAATCATTTATGTCCTTTGACCTGTATAGATTTGATGTTGAATCCACTGGTGATCAAATGCTCTACGCCGTTCCAAAATAATTGTCTAACCTATCGGTCTTGATGAGTTCGTCATAGCTTTTCCTGTAAATAGGTGGTCTGAGAGTCATATCATTCTGCATGCTATTTCATTTATGTATTATCAACTAAATGATCAGAGGATAAGGGTTTGTTTAGATTTCTTCTAATTCAACAATAAAATTACCAAGAACGCACTCTGTGATAGCGTTATGTAAATAGTATTCGTCATTTTGTTTGTGCTTGCTCATCATGGTTTGTGTTAGAGATATATACTTATTAATTAAAACTCACATCCTCCTTGAAAAGCTCGTACAAGCTACATGTATGTATATTATGAAAAGAAAAGTTTTGGAAACGTAATTTAGGCATCTAGTCGGAATGCTAAAAATAAGGATTTTAGCAAGGGTGTCCTGAATTTAAGTTGTAGTTTTTTTATCCCAATGACAAAACTATTCTATCAATGAACAAGATCGACCTCTTTTGTATTTTTGGGGTTATTCAAACTGAAATCCTCATTATCTCAACACTTTATATTCGGTCCTAATATGGACTGCGGGGCGGATTTATGGATCCCCATCTCACTTGCGGATCCAGAAGTTAACAAGGGGGGTGGGGTCAAATGCGGAATTTTTTTTGAAAATATGAGGACCAATTTGGCTTAAATGGGCCTAAAAGGTCCAAATTATGCCCATTTCTTGAGACCCTACAACATTTTTGGGGCCCTAAATTTTTTCTGGGCCCACGAGGGAGGGGGCTTACTACATTCTATGGCCTTTTTGGCTAGAGACTCGAGTAAGAGGGGGCGGGCCCCCTTGATCCGCCAGCTAGTCATCTCGGATGACCCTTCATCCTAGGTTGACATTATAATCATGAAATATTTCACATAAATCAGTAGGCTAGATATACAACAAAAAATGTCAATGCTGCAACGTTTGGGTCAAAGGAGGGGGGGGAGTATCGTTCAGATTTAGGATAGTCATGCTAGGATTTAGACAGGTGCATATGTTAGACCAATGCATTACCCCCAGGAAAAGCACTCCTAGAGATGATAAAATAATTTCGACTTCGAGACAGGGAAGATGCAAACAACCCACCAACATGTTTTTTGAAATATTTTCCTGATTTTCAATCCCTTCCACCCCTGCCTTTTAGTTTTAGTAATTTTTCTTGCATTAATATGGTGTGTTTTCAGTGACACACAGTTAAACCCTTTAAAGGAATAGGTTCCTTTTAGATAAAGTTGAAAACAATATTTTCCATGTTATTTCCCCATAGCCGGGGAAAACTCAAGGGATACATTGCTTTCAGCTAATTTCGGTCACCCATAATGGATATCTTTATAAAAAACTCCGAAGGAATGACTTATTCCTTAATTAATTAGGCCTAACTGTGTGTCAAAACACAGCACACTGATGCACTCAGAGAAAAATTAAAAAAGGGGTTGGAAGGGGCTGAAAATCAGGAAAACATTTCAGTAAAAACATGTGGGTGGGTTATTTCAGAGACATATAAAACAAATTATAATATGTCTCCGGTTATTTACATGTCCCCTGTCTCAAAGTCGAAATTATTTTATGGCATCTCAACTGAGACTGGGGTGCTTTTCCTGGAGGCCATTGTCTAACATATGCACCCGTTTAAATCCTCAGAAAATAGCCAAAATCCAACATATGACTGTCCGAAATCTGTTGCGATACTTTCCCACCTCCTTTGCCTATTTTCGCCAGTTGTGAGTCTTGGCATCCAAAACTCATTTTTAGCACAATACAAAAACTCGGCGTTCGTTTTTCAGACCAATCATCCGGGACTTTCAAAATGGCAGCCTCCATAGCGAAGAAATTATTTTCAAAGTCGTTTCAAAAACAGGTAAATTTAAAGTATCCCTGTCATAATTAACTCGTCAATGAAAGCCATATCTTTTTCCCTTGTAAATTCTAATAGATCAAATACTATTACTCTTCATTGTTTTCCCGGTTGTGTCACATTTGCTGTTTTATCTGAATATATATTTATGGCCAGGATTTTTGACCTTCGAACGTGATCATTGTATCACGAAATTACATAAAATTAATTTTATTTTGACAATGATATGAGAACGAAACGTAAATATGTCTCATAATTATCAGAGGGTATATCATAATGTGTTAGGTTCTTCACCAATCACCACTAGTCTATATCTTGCTAGGCGCATAGCCCTCTTTTGACAAGGGGGGGGGGGGGGTAGTATGTATCCAGCACAAAATTATCAATTAGAGGAACCATTTCTTCAATAAAATAAACATTACAAAATTCCAATTAAATAGTAAGGTACAATTAATGCAATAAAAAGTAACACAGCATATTGTCAAGTGGAAATAAAGCTAGTTGAAGTAACAAATGTGCAAATTAATTTTACCAATCAGGCATTCTGAATAGCACTTCCTATGTAAACAATTATTTCAAATTACCAAACTTTAACATAGGTGCCTTATAGTCTGAATATAATTCAGACTAAATAGGATATAGTCTAGGGGGGGGCAACGGGCAGGTGCAGTTTTTTAGCTTTTTTGAGCCTGTGGGATCTACCAGGCTGTCCGTCCGTCAACATTGGCCGCACAAATTAAAACTGCTATTCGGATTGAGTGATATCCACACATTCATTTTAAAATATCCATAATGCCTATTTGACCTGTCATCGCCATTTCCCAAGTTCGCCCGGCTTCCGAGAAATTGGTGATTTTGAAGTCAAAAAGTCGAATTTTCTGTAAATACTAGACACTTTCAAATAACTTGTAGTAGTTGCTATATATGCAACTTGTTCTCTGAAGATTTCAAAGCTCTCAAAATTACTTAGTTTTTGGTGTTTAATCCAGTACTGTCAACCCCCAAAGATTTTCTCGCGGGACAGATTTTTAAGACCCAGTGCCCAAAATTCGCGGGATTTTGCGGGACATCTACTAAATTCGCGGGATTTCGCGGGACATTTAAGGGATTTGCGTGATTGCGCTAATAGGCCAATTTTTTTTATCAAATTCGCAGGATTTCGCGGGACCATTCGAGGGACAAACACCCTAATTGCGGGACAGTTAACAGGTTTACCACCAAAAACTTCATAGAGGGACAGATTTTTTAGACAAAGTGCCCTAAATTTGCGGGATTTCGCGGGACATCCACCTAAATTTGCAGGATGTCCCGGGACATTCAAGGGATTTGCGTGATTGGAACTAATGTAAAAGCGTGTAAAAGTACTTAAATCAAACTTTCAGACACTGATTAATCAAATATAATGCACCGTTACATTGTAACTTAAATTAACGTCAACACAATTTCACAAAATACGCATGGGAATATTATTAAACTTTATTGTAATTTATCAAAAACAAAAACCATGCTTCAGGTGTGAGTACCGTAATCTAACACGAAATTCAAAAATTCGGAACAATACTTTGCACTTCTGGCATCGTGACAAACTATGAAATGCTTACCCCCATAATGTTATATATCAAAATGTACCAATTCATATACTGTAGGCATGGGCTTTCAATTGAAAGGCCATGATATAGGGGTTCGATTAATCTACATCAAATTATAGCGAATGAGGTTACTTTTCTAGATAGGGTTTGTAGAAAAAAGGGTACCGGGTAGTAAATCCTCCATGCTGGGTTCAAACTTGGTACCCGGTCGAAAAAACGGGTACCCAAAAAACGAAATATACGAATATTATCGCATCCTACGACCCCTTTAGATTGTGACCACAATCTAAAGGGGTCGTAGGATGCGATAAATACGAATATACAACATAATTAGATCATTAGAAAACGTGTAAGATTTGTTTTGAATTTACAAAAATGTATGTAACTTCCTACAAAATTGAGCTAGAAGCTTCAAATAAAAAGCATTTTAAGGCTCTTTTCATCCTCTATCATCATGGTCATATTTCCATTGGTAATGAAGGGGGGGGGGGTGGGGTGCACCCCCTCCTGGCTACGCCAATGACAAGACAAATCAATCTTACTTTATTTTCAATAGGTCGTACGTGGTACGTGAATTGTTTTGATTATGATTTAAATCTGTAAATAGCTATCGTTGCTTAAGCAGAGAGGTGACGTGTGTTAAATTACATGATGCAACGTGTAAGATTATTAATCATAATTTAAGTTATCCCAATTTTTGACAAAATGTCCACTGAATTGTAAATTGTTATGTCTTACAATGTCATAGGCGTAGCCAGGAGAGGGTGCGATGGTGCGATCGCACCCCCCCCCCATAACCAATGAAAATATGGCCATGACGATAGAGGAAGAAAAGAGCCTTAAAATATGCTTTTTAATTGAAGCTTCTAGCTCAATTTTGAAGGATGTTACATACATTTTTGTTAATTCAAAACAAATCTTACACGTTTTCTCATAATCTAATTATGTTATATATTCGTATTTTTCGTTCTTTGGGTACCCGTTTTTTTGACCAGGTACCGGGTACCAAGTTTGACAAAAAAAGGCCAACGTTGGAACTATTTGTGACCTACATCCCTATTGTCGTAATTAAAATGAAAGTTGAACCCTTCCTCTTTATTTTGATACCAAACAACAGCATCCTAGGTACTTTAAATTAGGTAAACTTTACTCCTTAAAAGTGCAAAAACTTAGCTTCTTACTAGTATATAAGATAAGATAATCACAATATAGGGGATTGCAACAATTTCGGAAATTCGCGGAGGTCAAAGCCACATTTGTGGATCTTCGCGGGACATTGCGGGACACGCGAATTAGCCTAATTTTGATCAAATTCGCGGGATAATCCCGCCATTCGCGGGACACTTGACAGCTCTGTTAATCTGTTAAATTTGACAAAAACAAAAGTAGGACTTTGTCATTTTCAGGGAACTTTCTCACATATACATGTACATGTAAAGTCAATCATCATTGGCTGCACAAATTAAAACTGCTATTCGTATTGGGTCATATTCACATTAATTTTATGCATATCCATAATGCCTGTTTGACCTATCATCGCCATTTCTCAAGTTCACCCAGTTTCCAGGAAATTGCCGATTTTGATGTCATAAAGTCAAAGTTTCTGTAAATATCAGACACTTTGTTGAAGTAGAACTTTCAAATAAGTGGTAGTAGTTGATGTATGTGCAACATATGTCTTCTGAAGATTCTTAAGCTCTGGGAATTCCAGTTCTTGGTGTTTACTCTATAAAATTTGACAAAAAGCAGAACTTAAGGGAGTCATTTTTAGGGAACTTTCTTGATGTATATTGTCAATGGCAGGTTTTGTGATTGACAAGTTTCTCAAAGTTTGTCCCTATACTTGTTCATTACTTGCAATGAATTACATCATTACTCGATATAAGCAGTCCCTACATATTGCTCAATATATGTCTGTATGTCAGCATCAAATTTTTACTGTTTTTTAGATATTTGACGTCAAAAACCGGTAAAAATAAGTTATTTTTCAACTTGCTTCAATTTGATCAAATTTTCTACAAGTTGCCAGGAGTTCAAATTTGAGCTTAGTTTTGAGATTTGACCTTCAGTGACCTTCGAAAGGTCAAAAAGTTGATTTTTCAAATTGATTATTTGGATGTAAATTTTGGTCACCTTAATCACAAAAGACCTACTGAGCTCTGAATAAGTAAAATGTTCACAAAATGAATCGTTTCGGTAACCAACGTAATCGAGTGTATCGCCAGTGCATTTGTGTTATGGCGTTTAATTTTTTTTGTATAGTGGATAGATGGTGCTGACTGTGGTCCACTTTGTGTCAGTAATCTGCAAAAGGCCTACAAGCCCATGATATCAGGATGTCTTTGCAAGATAGAGGGGTCTTTTAGGTTTTAGAAATTGCACTCATACTCTGAGATTCATTTTGGAGGCATTTGCATGTGCTGCCATCTTTAAAAAGCAAAGGGAATTGATATTGAAAATACAGAACATCTTATGAATATGAATAACATTTTTCAAAGGGGTCACTAAAATAAGTTTTACCAAATCTCTTTTTTATGCAGGTATGTGCAAGATGCTTTACTAGTTCGGCTGTATCATACAGAGAGCATGAGGGTAAACAAGCCAAATTTTTCCCTGTTAAGGATATGCCCATGCTACCCGATGGAACTTTTAAAGGTAAAATTACTGATTTCACATAATACCCAAGATGTCTTGAACAATACCTTTGTAAAGCTATTTTAAGAAATTCCTAACTTTATGACGTATTTGTTAATGACCCAATGAATACTATTTGAGGACTCAACTGCAGAAAAATAACTATGAATTTGCAATGTTTCGGATATGGAGTATAAAAAACTAAATTCATAACCATGTTTTTAATTCTCGTATTTTCAATTAAAATTGCATTCATAACTACATTTTGAATTCTTGTATTTTCAGGTAAAACTGCATTTGTTACCGGAGGGGGCACTGGGCTTGGCAAGGGAATGACAACGCTCTTGTCTAAGCTTGGATGTAATGTTGCAATAGCCAGTAGGAAGATTGATGTCTTACAGAAAACTGCACAAGAAATAACAGAACAGACAGGGAATAAAGTAAGATAGGAGAATGAAATGACAATTTTATTTCTTTTTTATTCATGATTTACTACAATTGTTGCATGTTGCTACATTGTGGATACTTCATATCTATAATAAGGCATATCAGTGCATATATCAAAATAATAAGGCATATCAGTGCATATATCAAAATAATAAGGCATGAATCTAGAATACGAATAAAATAATTGTTATCGGTACAAGAGTTATAATCTTTAATGTATGGTAATTCAAAAGTATAAATTTGTAGAGGGATCAGGGGATGATTGATGAATGACAAGATTATCTATTTGTTGTTTATTCTAGCATTTAGGATTACCTTGTCAGTTTATGCCATTTATTTTGTTTTAAAATGTCATAAATATCATGTGTCATTAAACTTGTTTTAACCATTGGCTTTAAAAGGTTAGGCTATAGAGAATTACACCAACGGTTGTGGGGGGAGAATTTGCCCCCCACTCTATGATCTCGGAAAGGACAAATTATAGGAGAGTGTATTACATATCACTAAAGCTTATTCAATTCCCAGTATTTTGAGCCTACTAATATTAGAAATTCCTATTCTAAGAGGTTTGTCATTTCAAGTCAAAACTACCAACAATTTGGGTATTTCAATAACTTTGGCCAGCTCTAAATAAATTCCTCCAACGGGGGTTAGAGTCATATTTTTTTCGTTAAAATATGCTAAATTCAATTTTAAGCATCCTTAGGGGGGGGGGGGGGAAGATCTGCCCCCTAACAGTTTAAGGGTTAAAGAATTACCTTTTTATTGCAGTTTAGGAGAGCAATACATCATTTCAATACAATTACAATGATCATACTATGATTTACATCCATAAACCTTTCATCTCAATCATAAGGAATGTGAAATTAATATCTAGGATACAATATTATTAATGCATTTTCATTTTTCAAGGTGGCTGCTATTCAATGTGACATCAGAAATCCTTTGGCTGTTCGAGACGCTGTTAGTGACTGTATCGATACATTCGGCCTACCCAATATAGTGATTAACAATGCGGCGGGGAATTTTATCTCCCCATCTGAAAGGTTATCAGCAAATGCGTGGAGGACAATAACCGATATAGTACTTAATGGAACTGCCTTTGTTACGCTTGAGATTGGAAAACGATGTATTTCCTCATCACAAGGTGATTTTTCTTATTATAGGAAGTGTTTATGAAACTAAAGTAGTAAAAGGTGTATGAAATTATGACATTACAGAATTTATTGGATGTCTTAAAACCGTCATTGTATTGGTAATGTGTTTACATGCTTATTATACGGTAAACTAAAAAACTAATTATGTAAATGGTGTTATGCAATTTACTGGATGATTAATGATCGTCATTATAGTCCTAATGTCTATACTTTTTGTGGTAGACTGAAATCAATAGAGGGTTATAAAACATCAATCATATGTTGCAAGAAAATGAGACAAAACAAAATACAATCCCTAAAAATTATATAAAACATATTAAACTTATATGACATATATGGATTGTTTGTAATTGTAATGCATGGCATGTTCAAACCTTGTTGACTCCAATGAAATAGTGCATTGAAGTACAATTAGTGTAACCATCCACTAAATTAACATGAAGCTATGTTTTGTAAAGTATACTATTGGTCAACATTTAACCAAGATGTAACCATGAAATATATGTGCATTTATTGTATTCATTTATTGTACATGAACTTCCATTTTACTTAAGTATGCCATTGGCCAAAATTTAACAAAGATTGGACTATGATATATGTTTGCATTTATTGTACATGTTTATTGTATATTGCAGGATGCTCATTTCTGAATATTACCACCACATATGCTGAGAGTGGATCAGGTTTCACAGTGCCCAGTGCAGCTTCTAAGGCAGGTGTAGAGGCAATGTCAAAGTAAGTATTGTATTACAGTACCAAAGTGGCTGGGTGTAGAGGCAATGTCAAAGTAAGTATTGTATTATAGTATCAAAGTGGGTGGATGTAGAGGCAATGTCAAAGTAAGTATTGTATTATAGTATCAAAGTGGGTGGGTGTAGAGGCAATGTCAAAGTAAGTATTGTATTATAGTATCAAAGTGGATGGGTGTAGAGGCAATGTCAAAGTAAGAATTATATCACTGTTTCAAAGTGGGTGGGTGTAGAGCAATGTCAAAGTAAGTATTGTATTACAGTATCAAAGTGGGTGGGTGTAGAGGCAATGTCAAAGTAAGTATTGTATAACAGTATCAAAGTGGGTGGGTGTAGAGGCAATGTCAAAGTAAGTATTGTATTACAGTATAAAGTGGGTGGGTGTAGAGGCAATGTCAAAGTAAGTATTGTATTATAGTACCAAAGTGGGTGGGTGTAGAGGCAATGTCAAAGTAAGAATTATATCACTGTTTCAAAGTGGGTGGGTGTAGAGGCAATGTCAAAGTAAGTATTGTATTACAGTACCAAAGTGGGTGAGTGTAGAGGAAATTGTCAAAGTAAGTATTGTATAACAGTATCAAAGTGGGTGGGTGTAGAGGCAATGTCAAATTAAGTATTGTATTACAGTACCAAAGTGGGTGGGTGTAGAGGCAATGTCAAAGTAAGTATTGTATTACAGTATAAAGTGGGTGGGTGTAGAGGCAATGTCAAAGTAAGTTTTGTATTACAGTATCAAAGTGGCTGGGAGTAGAGGCAATCTCAAAGTAAGTATTGTATTACAGTATAAAGTGGGTGGGTGTAGAGACAATTATGCAATTCACTCACCCATGGGCAATTCAAAAACACTGCCTAAATGTCAGACATTGACATTTGGTTTGTCAAGTGCACTCAGTTGTACATTCTGTACAATAAAATGACTTGTTGAAAAATCCAATCATCATTTTCAAATTGCTCACATACCTTAGACAAAGTCTCTTATATTTTGCAGTTTTTGAAAAATTAAATTTCATTAGATCTCAGGCCCGTAGCCAGGATTTGCCAAGGGGGGTTCAATTTTCAAAAATTTCCAGGGGGGGTTCACATTTGACAATTTTTGCCCAAATTAGGCTAAAATCACTAGATAAGTGCTCAAAATGGTCAAAAACTGCATGATTTTGAAAGAATTTTTGGCCAGGGGGGGGGGGGGTTCCTTGCGAACCCCCCCCTGGCTACGGGCCTGGATCTACATGAATTTTACAAAGAGTGGTTACAAGAATTTATGCAAAATATGAGCACAATTACATTCAAAAATATTGAAATTCCTTGCCAAAATATTGAAAAGTTAAGCTATTTTCAAAATGTCTAGTAGTATCATGTATTAATTGTTCAATTAATATCAAAACCAACCTTCCACAGTAAACCTTTGTGTGTGATATGATGATCTACCATAAGTTTTTTTTAAATTTATTTCAGATGATATTTTGTTAACAAAGATGGCAGTTTAACTGAATTTGTCTATTCTCTTTGTCTATTTCAGGTCTTTGGCTGCAGAATGGGGACGCTATGGGTTGAGATTCAACTGCATACAGCCTGGCCCTATATATACAAAGGTACACTGATTGAAATTAATTTCTTAACAATATATTGAGCATAAGCCATTAGGTGCTCATTCTGAAATGTAGCACTTCATCAAAGAGAGCAAGATTTCCATAAATTATGTCTGATTTAGTATATTCCTTGTAAGGCCTGTTTCAAAAAAAAACATTTTCATTTCATGAGTTACAATAGTGAGATAGTATACTGTTAGTCAGCTTGATTTGCCATGATTTAAGATGGCGAATTGGGCAAAATTGGAAAATTAGCGGAGATTTAATTTGGCAAATATAGCAAGAATAGATGGCTGTGAAACTGGCAAATTTCACAGGTGAACCAGTATTAATGGTGGTCAACATAAGTAGGTGAAAATATAAGCCAGGTGAATAAGAAAGTGAAAAAGGAAGCCTCTGTGGCGATTTAAATTGAATCATCTTTTATTCATAAGAATAAATAAGCTCTGCTTATCAACTGGATGCTCTCTTATTTCTAACACCAAATGGTCCACTTTATTGGATAAATCTGATCTTGAACATTTGAACAATATCTCTGAACATAAATTACACTGGATGAAAATTTCCCGGGGATTTTAAAAAATTGGCAAAGACAGGATTTGGCAAATTTTTGCAATTTGCCAAATTTGACAAATTAAATTGGTTGCCAAATGACTAACAGTATTTGGAATTAGTGTAGCAACGAAAAATAGATGGACTGTGTGTTAAAAGTGTAGATTTAATATTCTCGACTTTGACACAGGTGATCGTAAACATTGTTTTATTTCTACAAATAATAACTTTGGTTAAATAGTTTTTACTAAACAGCTTCAGACAAATGATCTATAAAACATTTCATTTATTGTTTTAATGATTGTGATGAGAATATTTTTCACCAAGCTTTTTACAAGTTCTTAGAATTCTTGATTTCTAATTGAAAATCATGATAAATAAAAAATAAAACAGACCGGGGCAATGCTATACCCTGTACATACCATTTATAGACCAAATTATTGAACATGGTCATTTAGAGGTTATCGAATTTATTTCATTAATATCTTATGGGCAAAGAAACCTGTACTCAAGAAGGCATCTTAAATATGGTCACTTATTTCAAATTGCCAACATTTTTTTAGAAATAACTCAAATACCAGCTAACAGATATGGTTCAAATTTTATATGCTGATTGCAAAAAGGATTCTACTCAAGAGTTAGATGACTCAGTGGGATTTGCTACTCTGTGGATTTGCTGTTTCCTAGTTTCGATTATAGATAAAATATCAATAAATTTTTTATCTCACCAAGCCAATCAGAAATCGTCATCGAAATACAGACGACTTTCTAGATGGTCATTTCCTCTGACATCACCCCATAGTTAATGAGCAAGTATTTAGCATGTGTTCCTTCCACTTCGCTGATTGGTTAAGAAAGGGTCAGTGTGGTAGATTTGGAATGATTCACTACCTGGGCTGTCACAGGCACCAATCTTTGGGTGGGGCTGCTAAACTATAATATAGTCTATACTAGGCAGTGGGTTGTTTATAACTAGACCCTGCGCGCATGGTAACATTAACATGATGTACATATGTGTGTATATATTTTACATGACTTGTTGCAGGGTGCATTCAGTCGACTGGACCCCACTGGGTCATTCCAGAAACAAGCCTATGATGTTAACCCAACTGGAAGACTGGGTGACGTAGCTGAGATATCAAACCTTGCATCATATCTAGTCAGTGACTTCGCATCATGGATCAATGGAGCGGTGAGTAGTGTTGACCTTTATATATTTGTCACTTTTTATGGCACCACCACAAGTGGTGACATATTGTTATAATCTACAACTTTTTATGTAACCTCCACAACTTTTTTTGTGGATGGTGATTGATGGTTGGTGGTTGGAGTTTGTCATCTGGAACAAATGACAAATGGTGACATTTTGCATGTTAATGCCTTGTATGATGCTATTTCATAATTACTGGCACACCAAAAAGGTATATATTGGTTCTATCATATGTAAATCATATATCAAATATAGCATATACTTTGTATTCTCTAATCTACTCTACTACTCGAGTTCTTGTGTGTAAAATTCCTTTCTGGACCTTCTCAAAACTATTCATATATTGGTGTGTAAGGCCATAAGAAGTAGATTCTTTGTTTTGCGTCCTGGCAAAATCCATATCATGCAAGGGTACAAGGAAAACAAACACAAACTCAAGAAAAAACACAAACTTGTTTGCTGAGAAATGGACATTTTATGGGCATAAAATGGGATGACATCAAGTTGCAGTGATTACAAACACATATCTATACATTTAGATAAACAATACTTTTAAACATAGTTATTATTCAAGGGTAAAAAATAAGAAAGTACACAATGCATGCCAAAGTATCAATAACACTGTCAATATTGACACACATCAAATTATCCGCCATTTCATCTGATTCTGATTGAACGAAATGCGATTGTACTTTCAGACACTTGTAATTGCTATTTGGATGTGTTTGTTTTTTCTGATTTACTCAAAATAATGCAAGCAAGGGGACGCAAAACAAAGAATCTACTTCTTATGGCCTAAGTTGAATTTAGGTAGATAATGTTAGAGCTTGACCTGGGAAAGGATGGCTATTCAAAAGATTATTGTATTTGATTCCACAATAATGACTTTTATGTCCTGCACAAGCTGCATTTGTTTGAGATCATTAGATTAACAAAGATCTTATATTTTCCAGATAGGCTTGTTCTTTGATCTGATTACCTTTGTCATCCCTTTCAATGAATTCGTATTCTGACTGCAACCACTGTAAAAAACAAACGTTTGACCTTATGTTTCAATTTCAATTCATGATAAGATTTGATGGTGTGTAATTTGTATCCTGACTGCAAATACTAAAAAGCAAAAGACCTACATGTTCCAATTTTAATTCATTTATAATGTATTTTTAGGTGATAAGATTTGATGGTGGAGAATATGTGAGCATGGCAGGAGAATTTAACAAACTGACATCAGTGTCAAAGGAGGAATGGGATATGATGGAAAACATGATCCGTAAAACTAAAGGCTCATGAGATGTTCAGAGAACTGCAAATCATAGACATTTCTTATAAATCATGTCCTGTTTTGCTTACTAGAGAAACAAGATATAAAATTCCAAAGGTCGCAGATAGCAATGTCAGAAAATTTAAAAATGAAGCGAAAATTTATAAATGATGTGAAGATTATATCAATAAGATGATCCTATTTTGAATATAAAATTAATAATATGAACTGATGATTTTTTTTTAAATTTCTTTCTTTCATTCATTATAATACAAATCAATATTTCAAAATGCAATATTTCAAAAACTTTAAATACGTTTTCTCACTCAACAATGTGTCTAACATATTTTTCATATTCAAACATTACAGATATATTTTTTCTCTCATTCTTTGAAAACTTAAATCCATGTATAGCTTTCTTTATTACAAGTGAACTGATGATTTAATATTTAATAGATGACATGATTTATTGAATTTGTCTATTTCAACAACATATGGTGCATTGGATGATCGATGACATTAACAATAATTGTGATACGTACATATCTTTAGATATTACACAGAAGAGTACAGCAAAATGGAAATAAAATATATTTGTATTATCTTCTTACAGACTATAGTAAATAAATGCATAGTTTAGCATACCCATTCACATTTATTTCAAACATTGCATAGGCGTAGACAGAAGGGGTGCGATGGTGTGATCGCACCCCCCCATAACCAATGATAACCATTAGATACAATTTTGAAGGAAGTTACATCAATTTTTGTAAAATTGAAAACAAATCCCCCCTTGACTGAAAACCGAATTTTTTTTGCGATCCCATTGTGTAGTTATAAAGGAGTTAGACAAAGCATTTATGTATACTGCTACTGTAATATGCCTCTATTTTGTTAGAGATGTGGATTTAGAATTCAGACTTTTTTTTCAAAATAAATAATATTTGGTTGATTTAACGATATTTTCAAACTTGGCATGGGGCCTTTAAATGTATTTACATATTTATACATTTATTTTGAAAGATAAAGATCAAAGTTGTTCATACATTGTCAGATGATGATAATACGTAATGCTATTTCCTTATTTCTCCAAAGATAACCTAAACATTTAATTTAATTGCAATGGCCTTAGATATTTTTTGTTCAGGCTCTCCTAGCTACACAGCAGGGCAACTAGTTGACCTGTTAATTACATCAACAAGTAAAAGGGTAACACTAATGAGATTATCGATTATACTATACCTACATCATATACCTTTACAGAAATAAATTCACAAAGCTATTAGTTATCATTCTGATTTATCAGAGTCCATCTTTACCTAACGCTTCTGAACTATTCCAAAAGGATAGTAAAGGCTGTGGATCCCACAATGATTAGTTATACTTTCTACAGTCCTTGCAGACTTATACTTTTCAGAGAAATCTTGACACCTTTCATTGGATTGGTAAATTATTCTTTAACCTAAGGTTACATTATTGTCATGATAAGATATAATAACAATTTTATCTACAAATCTACAAGCAGTAATTATGGAAAACTGACTGAAAGTGAAAACCGGATTCAATAGTGAATTACAGTGTAAATTTTGTTGTTTTTGCATTTCTGTCACTATGTTATTGTAATTTTCATAAGTGCATCCGATAATATGTGCATCGAGGTGTCACTGTGACAATAATCACTTCACAATGAAGGTGTTTAATGACCAAAGAGCTGGGTTTTATAGTTATGTAATGGCACAGAACAGTGCATTGTCTCACTAGAATCTACATAAATCCCGGCCTGAGCTTTAATTAAAGACGAAGATAGGTGATGTAAAAGACAATCTGCTTATTGAAAAGACAAGCTGATTATAGGCTACTTGCTAGATAAATCTAAATTGGAAAGAATATGGCTACGCTATGACAGCAAAGATAAAGTGTTTTAACTTCTGTTATTTCTAGCTCATTGATCGATCTTGTAAGATTAGGTAAGATAAGGGTTCTACAAGTAAATTGTCTGTCTAGAAGAATTGCTTTTTGGAAATACTCCGGTGATCTGGGTTTATTTTATCTCACTGATAGCATAGCAGAAGGTATGTGCAAATGAAATTAAAGCCTTGAAAATGAAAGAAAAATCTTGAAACGAAAGAAAATTGTAAGATCGGATAATCATGCAATCACGGCCACATTTAATTTTGAACTAGGATGAAGAAAACATTACTTCATCCTAGATTTTGAAGAGCCCAATGGAAAATCAATAACGTGTCTAACATTCCCAAAGTAGTATGTTAAACAAGAATGAGACAATGTTTTTTCTGCATGGAGAAACCTAAGTACATAATTCAAAAAACGCTGGAAATTGATGTTTATTCAGCAAAAGTGAAAGTGATCAATTAACATCAATGGGAATGTGAGTCGTGGAATTGTTATATTCGTTATTAATTCAACCTTTACTTATAATACATGTCCGATAGTACATGGCGAAGCATCGTTATTAACATACCCCGGGACAGTATACCTACTGTACCTTTAAAAATTTAAAGCGAGTTGATATTACAATCAAATATGTTACTAGTATTTAATATAGATTGCTGATTTTCAAATAAGTTTTGTATGATTGTTAAATAAAATTTGCCAATTATAATTTATTTAATAAATAAACGTTTTTGTTTGTTTCAATTGTTTTGATATACAGGGTGATCAATAAATAAGGTAAAAGTATCTGGCATTTTGTAAATATTGGTCCAAACATCCTGAAATTTGGTCATTTGGTTGTATACATGATTAGGATGGCATGAACTACAAGATGTGCAGTCAGTATGCAGTTATCTGGGGCAAGCCCAAATCATGATCTATATATCTTCAATGAATAAACACAAGGAGCACACACGTCGCGAACTCGCAACCTCGTGGTTACGGTGCCCAATCGCCTAGCCTGAACGTGCTGGCGCTCAAGCCCTCTTAGTCTATCTCGCCCAACTCGATAACCCCAAAAAAGCTTGTTTTGTTAGTAAATATTCAAAAACTTTTTTCGAAAATTTTTTCGAAATTCGCCATTTTGACCAAGCATTAATTTTATGAACCGCATATTTTTTGACGGACACTCCAGATTACGTTATTGAACTTGGGGATCTAGAGAAGAAAGTATATATCATGATTTGGGCTTGCCCCACTTCATACCGACTGTAAAAGTATAGGGGTTGCCTTGGGCCTTTTGAATGGAGGAAAATGCTTCTTTTGCATATGCCAATCATAGAAATAACTTTTGACAATTTTATCATTTTTCTTATTTCAATTTTCAAACTCCCCACTGGATAACATTAGAAAATATTTCCAACAATTCTTTTTCGAACCTGGCAAAGTTAGGAAATCGGCAAATTGGCATTAAATCTGGTATGAATATACAGGAACTTGGCATTCACATATTCACCCTATGCAGACAGAGCCTGTGGGAAATATTGGGTGCGGAGCAAATGAGCGGAGGGTGCGGAGCTAACGGTCATTTTTGAATTTAAATTTGGGATATTTCTGAAACTAAGCCGTTTTGGGCTTATACCAAGATATGTGTATTTGACACCAAATATCAATACAATTGTGAAAATAGTAGCGCAATTCATTCTATAGCGACGCAGTGTGCCTTAAACCTTTCCCAGACCTATATATTTTGAAATTATCCTTTTAATACTGAGTCCCCAGCATTCATAAAAAATGGTGTTCAAGGTTCACTATCTATACAAATTATTTTTGCATCTTGGAAGCCAGGCAGTATCTGTGTGATTTTATAAAAATTCGGAAATGTTTTTCAGATATGAGCCCCCTCTAAATATTGGGTGCGGAGGAGCTCCATAAACGTACCTCCGCACCCAATATTTAGAGGGGGCTCATATCTGAAGAACATTTCCGAATTTTTATAAAATCACACAGATACTTCCTGGCTTCCAAGATGCAAAAATAATTTGCATGGGTAGTGTATCTTGAACACCATTCTTTATGAATGCTGAGGACGCAGTATTAAAAGGATAGTCTCAAAATATATAGGTCTGGGAAATGTTTAAGGCATAATGCGTCGCTATAAAATGAATTGCACTACTATTTTCACAATTTTATTGATATTTGGTGTCAAATACACATATCTTGGTATATTTGAAGTCCCAAAACGGCTTAGTTTCAGAAATATTCCAATTTTAAATTCAAAAATGACCGTTAGCTCCGCACCCTCCGCTCATTTGCGCCGCACCCAATATTTCCCACAGGCTCTGTCTGCATAGGGTGATATTGTTAATAAGCAATTCTTAAGATTCGCTCATTTTAGGAATTGTTTTGATTTACCATTTTTATTCCTGTAATAGATGCTGATTTCATTTGCTAACAAGATTTCCCCTGTGTATGATCGTAATTATGGGACGCCCTTGCTATTTTTAAACTTTCCTCTACGTATATCACTAACAACTCTTTTTAGAGATATAGTAGCATCATTACAGCGTATAAAGAATGGACGCCTTCGAAGTATATCAATTGTAATCTGCTTTTATTGGTACATTATGATAACGCAGTATCAAGAAAGGACATAAAATGTTCATTTAGGGCGTTCGTCCGGGCACAAAATGTCATGCTTATATTTCAAGATAGGCTTTATTCTTAAACACAGGTTGAAATGACTTAGAGGGCATCCATTCAGGGGTTTTCCAAAGAGAAAGTCGCGACAAGGAAAACAGAAAGCAGTGGATAGACTATACACTCGTGTGTAATCCTTGTAATTTATATTCGGTAGAGTTTACGAATTTAGAATATAAATAATTTCTATAGTTATTGTGGGGTGTAGTACATGTATTTGTCGTGAAAATCGAACACGATTTTGATCCAGCTGCGAGCTGCATTGTTATTAGCTGTTTAGTGAACTGTGTTGTTAGGTTTGTACACATCATTCTGGCTCTTGGCTCCGCAAGGTAAATTCCTTTCATTACTAGACTTTATATCACACAGTCGATAGGTCCAAGAGTTGTTGCATACCTTTTAGGCCTTGCAATTAAGAGCTCCTCAAAATTTTGAG